CACCCTCGGCAGCAATCTCGGCCTCGCCCTGCTCCATCTATCGATTGCACGTAGTTGTGCATCTGGAAGAGCGGGGAATCTGGAAGGACCCCAACAGACCAAAGCGTCTCATCTCATCCTTTCTTGAAGAACTCCTTGCTATTTTCCTCGAGGGCAGGCAACACGTCGTCGGCGAACTCCTCTCGGAGTTGTTCCTCGGACTTCCTGTTCTCCGCCTCAGCTCTGATCCTGTCCAGCTCCTGGGTCAGAACCAGACAGCTCTCCTCTGAACTTACAGCCCTCTCCTCTACCGCAGAGAGCCGCTGCGTCTGCTGTGTAATCCTCTCCTCAGCGTCGGCTAAGGCAGCACTTAGCTTTTCAGCGCCGACCTTTGCCAATTCGCCGTCCTTGAGGAGTTGCTCAATCTAAGTCGCCTGTCCCGCGAGGGTGAAATCCCTGGCAGCTACATCCTCCCTAGCACTAGCCAGGGCTCCCTCGGCCTCTTCCTTCTGCTCTTGGATTCGCTGGAGGTCCATCCTAGCTGCATGATATTGTGTAGCGATTATGAAAATTTGTTGGGTGGCTTGCAAAGGAAATGACTTGTCAATAAAAGTAAAGCGGCTAGAAAAGATTGAAGCGAAAATGAACTTACCACCAGAGAATTCTGAATGATGGAGCGAAACAACGCGTTCGTTGATCGCCCCCTGTGAGCCACCATGTCGGCCTCAAAGTGCAGCGTCTCACCCACTGCGTTGGCAACATGGGGGTCCTACAAAATGGAGTCATCGACCTTGATCACCCGGTTCATGTGATTAGTGGCCCGAGGGCTCCACTCTGCGGCTTCCACCTTCTACGGAGGGGGAGGTGGAGTCTGCCTCTACTGCTGTTGCTGTTGTTGTCTCTATTGCCTTTGTTGTTGTTGTGGCCTCTGCTATTACTGTTGCTGCTGAGGTGGAGGAGATAACCCACGGCCCCTCCCGCTTTGTTGTTGAGCGGAGGAGGCCCTGGATCGCCTACCCAGGCCATCGTGCCTTATTTGATTCTTCTCTCCTTCTCAACTTGAGGATCTCGGTCGCGCACTTGACCCCGACCAACGGCTCTTGAAGGTGGGGTGGCACTGGTCCCTGTTGATGGGGCCCCGCTGGTTGACCCTTGCCCCCTCCCGACAGTGAGGGCCTGTCTCTGCCTCAGAAACCCCAGATCTATGCGAGGCGTGTTCGACATGGCTACCTCGAGGGCGTCCTCCTCGTCTAGGGATTGCATGATTTGGAAGTCAGGCCACGAGTCTCTCCCCGAAGTCCCCACTTCGGCGTGCGAAGGAACCAAAGCCTCTCTGGCCGCGAACTCCTCAACTTCAACAACACCCTCTACTTCCACTTCTGTAGCCCAGTCAGGGTCTTCCTCCAAGTTCTCCTCGACCTCTTGTTGCGCAGCCTGATCGAAGAGTTCAGACCACCACGAAGGCTCAAAAGGCTAGGGGAGCTGTGAGAATTTTTTATATCTGGGAGTGTAGTTCAGAAAAATATGAGCAGCCCGACCAAACCCATCATTGCCAACAAATCTCCAAACAGTGACGAGGTCAGCAAAGTTCACCAAGGACCGAAGTGGAGGAGTTGCTTCCCGAGCGGAGATGCCTGCACACACAAAAAAGAGGAGAGGGAGTTATGAACACTTCTAAAAAATCTCGAGAACAAAATAATAGACCCAAAGAAGTCGATGTACTTGTTGTTCTCCATTCCAAAGAACATAACAGACCATTGTACTCGGGACCGGCACCCCTCTGCTAGGATCCCTTGAAGATCAATTGGTCATCCTTGTACCCTTTGTCCGAGTCAGGGAGGTGAGTTACGAGGTACATGGATGGGTCCCTAGCTTTGAGGTAGAAGTTTTGCTGAGGCATGACCCTCAAGAATGAGTAGTAGAAGAGGATATCGTTCAGCCCAACATTTACCTTGAGACGCTTGTTGAGCTCTAAGACTCCCATTATTATCCTGAAGACATTGAGGCAACACCGCTCGGGGAAGAGGTGGAAATGGAAGAGAAACTGGAGAAGTAGAGGGGGCAGAGGAAACCTAATTCCGCCCTCTATGATGGCTTTGGTATTAAAGGGCATCTCATTCTTGGCCCCGAGAGTACGGGAATGCAAAGCGGGGTTTTAATTCTCTATGTCTACATATGGAGGGATGCGATATTGGACCCTAAACCTATTAATCTGCTCGCCTCCCTTCACTTTGTACTTCCCTGCCCTCGAGGAACTGGCCTGAGGATTCTCAGGGGCAGGGCGACGTCGGGACATCTCCAAAAATGATGAAAAGTGAAGAAGAAGGAAGGGATTTTCCCACAAAGATCCCCAAGGAGGTTTCCCGAGGGTTGGTCACAGAATGACAACCAGAAATACCTCCGGTTATCGGAAAATCAAAAGAACATAAAAACAACGAGAAGAAGAAGCGAAGAAGGGCGAAGAAAGAGAAGATACAAGGACTCACCAAAACGTAAACGGAAGTTTTTTTTAAAAAACTTTAAATGATTCCTCCCTCCAGAATGTTCAGAAGCAAGGATGGGTCTGTTGGCCTTAAGACTCCGGTGAAAGATTGGGCAGTGGACAACGAAAGGAAATGGGTCTCTGACGAGATTTCAGGCAAGGGCTCTCTAAAGAAGTTCAAAATGGCAAAATGAGAGAGGGAGAGAGGAAGCTCATTTATATATAGTACTCATCCCCATCATTGGGCACGAAGCACGAAAAAGCGCATTCAATGCGCACGACCTCCTAAACAGAGGAAAGCGGCTAGAGGCAATGAAAAAGTGGTTGGGGTAGTTGCATAACCCTTCGTCTCCTTACGATGCGTGTCCTCGGTGTCAGAAGATCGAAGGCTGGGGGGGCAATTGATGTGACATTTTCAGACACTCCAAGATAAGCAACACGTGTACTCGACATTAAGGAAATACTCTCTGTTGTGGTCACGACACGTACTCGTCGGGCCATGATCCCCCTTCCCCCGAGGAGGGTACTAGGCATAAAGACCCACGACGCCGGTATACACGGGGGGTTCAACACGTATTCCTCGGTCAAATAGGGGTACGTCGGTCCCTAACTGTACTAGGCCCCCGGCACCGAGGTGTATCCATTACATCGGTGTTCTATTCCTGCAAGGTTGTTGATAGACATGACATCAGCCTGGGTTAGTCTAGATTAGCCATCATGACCTGGTCCTACCTGGATGGTGTCAGAACGCATAGGAAAGCAGAGGACTCAACCAAAGGGGAGCCGACGCGTGGCATACTGTGTCAGTTCAGGGACAAAAAGACCAGAACGCCCTTGCTGACACACGACTTGGGAAAGCAAGTATTTAATGCACATTTCCCTTAATGAGACAGCATTTAACGCGTAATGACGAAGAAGTGAAATGCAATAAATGCTCTTGTGACTGAGCATTTAATACATCCCTGCCGAGTAAGGGGCATTAAATGTTCGATAGACCGAGAGTGATGCATTGATTGCTCGGGATCCCGAGCAGTTAAGAAAGAGGTCATTTCTCCTGAAGACCAGTATGCACGTTATCCACCTCTAATTATCACCTACTGACCACACTGACAGCAATCATGAGTTTTGAAGGTATAAATACTCCTCACAAAAAGCAAGACGGTACGCAAAAAACCTTTTCTCAAACCTATACACAGTATTTTTTTCTTCTACTCTCTCAAAGAACTAACTTGATCGTCGGAGGGGATACGTCGAAAAACACTCCGGCCCTCTCCTAACTCGTTTTTCTCTGTTTCAGGAACCTCCCTCAGCCTTACTAGACCACTTCGATGACCCACAAAAGTCATCCATTACCGTTCCAAGCTACCACCGGATCTCACACTGTTCCAAATAACAAGGCTGACCATTTGATTGACTGACTCATGTTCACCACGGGAGAGATCTGTTCTTGTGTGTATATTGTGCAAGATCCTGCACACACACTATCCAATATTCTAGGGTTTCGTCCCAGGTGGTTCTCACAAGGTAACGATTTCAAAAAAAAAGAAAAAAACTCAATTTTTGGCAAATCGGCATAGAAAAGTACTTGCTGAGTTGGTGAGTTTCCATTGGTCAGACTTTTATTAAAAGTAAGAACATCAGTAAAAATATAGAAAATGTTATATGTATCTGGTGGAAGAATGTCGATTACTCGATTAGTTAAGGTTAAGAATGTTAGAAGAACTATAGTTAGAGAGTTGAATTTAACTTATAAAAGTATAATAACAATTAATATTGATTCAATTTTTATTTATTTTGATATAATGATATAAATTTATTCCAAATTTTTTTTAAATAAAAAAATCATATCCTTTACTCAATACCTGATGACAAATAATTTAACTAACATACTTTCTAACGTTAAACAGTCTTATTAATTCATACACACACATATCCTATTTCTCTCTTATTTTTTTCACTTTAATATTAAATTAAGTAATTAAAAAAATAAATTATTATTTAAAATATAAAAATTATACAATCAAATTTTTGATTTTTTATATTATAAAGTGTTTTATGACTCGAGATATTTATTAGTTTATATATAAAATATAAAAACTATTTTATGTAAAAATGTGATTTATTTTATTTATTCATTAAAACTTTTTATTAAATAGTTATATCCAATGGTGCTTGGCATTAAAATTTTATTTTGAAATAGTAGAAACGTTTTTGTTTTCAAAGAAACTAAAATGAATTAACGATGCAATATAAATTTTAATATTTTGAGATACTTAATATTGTTTCAAGGTATTTCGTAATGTTTCAATATATTTACATAATTATTTTGAGGAATTTAATACTGTTTCAAAATATTTTGATATATTTTAATTAATATTTTTTAAAAAATAATTATTAATTTTTTTATTTTTATTATATTTTCGAAATTGATCAAAATATTTTTTAAACCGGTCAAAACATGATTTCTTCGGTGTCGGATGCACCGAAACGAAATTTTAATCTTACATTGAATTTCGTCGCCGACACTCCTCTTCCTTTCTACACGCAAACACTCGTGGTCCTCTGCATACCCTTCCGTTTTCGAGAAAAAAAAAACCCTAGAAAAAGCACCTACACATTCTCAGAGAATCATCGGTACCCATTTACAGAAAAAGAATGAAGAGAAAACTCTCTCAATCTCGAAGACTTCGGCACAAACACACCCCTAACTGGCTAGAGCTCCCACTGGACGTGACGGCCTCAATACGCCACAGGGTTGGGGCAATAGACATACTGGAGAATGTACAGAAGGTGTGTACTACCTGGCGAAGAATATGCAAAGATCCGGCGATGTGGGGAGTCATAGATATGCGTAATTTGGGGGATTTGTTCGACATGCCTTATGATCTTGAGAAGATGTGTAGACACGCCGTTGATCGGAGCCAAGGTCAATTAGTTAATATTAATATCTAGTACTTCGGCACCGACGAATTGGTTAAGTACATTGCCGACAGGTATAACACCCTGTTTTATATATATAAATTATATAATTTATCACAAATATAGTGATAATGATTACTCTCATCTCAATTTCTCTTTTCTAAATCTTTTATTTTTGTTATTATATTTGTAGCACAACTTTAACATATCTAATCTTGGTGATTATATATGCTCTTATAGTATAAAGATACTTAATAATCAAAATTTTAAGCTTGTTAATCACATTTCAATACATATTTATTATTTAGTAGTAGACAATATTTAAAAAAGTGTCGGATACGTCACTAAAAAAATGTCGGACACGTGTCTGAAATTAAAATTTTATCATTTAATTATAGACACAAACCAAATAGTATCAGATATACGTCCGAGGAGTGTCGATGTCTGACACAGATACGTCACCTTCTTGAGAACATCCATATTTTATAGCTTTTATGACTTCTTAATCCACCATAAATACTGCAACTAAACAACCCTTGATTGGTTTAGTTGTGTGAGAGAGACTATTGGGTAGTTTTTTACGCAGTTAATTGGCTTATGGAGTTATGGGTTGTATTAGTTATTTCTATCTTGTAAATATAGACCTTATTATCAATGAAAATGGATTTTTGGATTTTGTATTGAACTTATTGCGGAGGTCGGGTTCCCTAGAAATGAACGACATGAGGTTTCCATCCCTTGAAGTGGTTTTTCTTTTACTCTATTCTATTTTCCTTCGTTTTATATGTTCCCAAAAAATCGTGAACATGTCATTGACTTATTAATAATTTAAGTGTATGATAGAATATGAGCATAGGAACCTCTTATTACAGTGCAACATATATAAAAGGTGATGGTATAGCATAAAAAGACAAATATTCTTTAGGTTGTCTTTTGTTTTAGCCCCTTTTTTGTATTCAGAATGTTTTTATCTCTGTGTACAAGGATCAAAATTTCGTTTCAGTGTATTGTTTTGGTCATTTAAGAAAAGAAAATATTTTGACATATTTTGGAAATATTTTGACCCATTTTGAAAATAGAATGAAAATAAATAAATAAATTTAAGAATTATTTTTTCAAAACATTGATTGAAATATACTNGGTTGTATTAGTTATTTCTATCTTGTAAATATAGACCTTATTATCAATGAAAATGGATTTTTGGATTTTGTATTGAACTTATTGCGGAGGTCGGGTTCCCCTAGAAATGAACGACACGAGGTTTCCATCCCTTGAAGTGGTTTTTCTTTTACTCTATTCTATTTTCCTTCGTTTTATATGTTCCCAAAAATCGTGAACATGTCATTGACTTATTAATAATTTAAGTGTATGATAGAATATGAGCATAGGAACCTCTTATTACAGTGCAACATATATAAAAGGTGATGGTATAGCATAAAAAGACAAATATTCTTTAGGTTGTCTTTTGTTTTAGCCCCTTTTTTGTATTCAGAATGTTTTTATCTCTGTGTACAATGATCAAAATTTCGTTTCAGTGTATTGTTTTGGTCATTTAAGAAATGAAAATATTTTGACATATTTTGAAAATATTTTGACCCATTTTGAAAATAGAATGAAAATAAATAAATAAATTTAAGAATTATTTTTTCAAAACAGTGATTGAAATATATTAAAATATCTTAAAATATTTTGAAACATTCTGAAATAATTGTGCAAATACATTGAAATATAACAAAACATTTCGACACATTACGAAACACTTCGAAGTATTAGAATTTCAATTTTATCACTAATTAGTTTCGACTTCTCTGGAAACAGAAACGTTTCGGATATTTTGATCGTTTTAAAATGATATTTTGATACTTGTCTGTGTACTAGGTAATTCTAATAAAGCTAATGAAGATAGATTTTAATGAAGAGGGTCGGTTATTATTTAAGGAATAGAGGTAATAGATTTTAATGAAGAGGGTCGGTTATTATTTAAGGAATAGAGGTAATTTTATTCATCCTTTTTTAGTTTAAATTTTAGGACAATTGTGCAAAATATCCTTCAGGTTTATGTTACACATCCTGATTAAGGTTTGAAAAATTATTTCCAACTACTAAAGTAGACGAGTAAAGGCACCGGTTTGTTGGGTTACCTGGTTGGCATGTCCAGCCGGGTCAAATAATGCCTCCTTCCCCATGCAATGGGTGCACATGACCCTCACATCCTGATTGAATCGATGACCTCTCAGTTGACTTGCCATTTGTTGTCCTCGATTCACAACATATCGCGTGATGAGTGCGTAATTTTGCATATATAATGGCCTCATTATATTCATTTTAGCTTGGTTTTGCAATAGTTTTTTGGGAGTTAGTTTAATTTGAAGGTTAATAGAGAAATGTGTAATTGCAGATGATCGAGGTGTAAATACCGGATTTTAATCACTGTGCAATGTTTTGGGGACAATGGGCAAGGAAGGAACACAAGAGATGAGGGCTCCGGAGTGTGGAGTGTAGAAAAGTCAAAGAAAGCAAAGAGGTACCGATACTTGTGACAAGAACTACCGGTACCTTCATCATTTGTTATTGGAACTTGAGCCCATTGGAGGATAAGTACCGGTACTTGGGATCCTAAGTACCGGCATCTTGGATTGTACTTGAGTTTTTTTTTAAATTGAAGAAATGAAGGAGGTACTGGTACCTTCATCACTTGGTACCAATACCCAAGCCCACTACCAGCGGAGTATCAGTACCTCGACACTTGGTACCAGTACCTAAAGTCCAGAATTCCTAGATTACTTTCTTTACGATCTAATTTGCTACGAGGGTCCCCTTTAGGATGTCTAATCCATGTTTTGACCTTGTCAACACTCCACCATGACCTCCTAACCACAGGAGGGAAGGGAAAAATAGGAGATAAGAGGAGAAGGGGAATGGTTGGAAAGGACCAGGAGGCCATGCCTTTGTCAACTTTTGAAGGATTTTTGGACAACTTCTCTCCAAGCAAGCTCTCTCAAAACACTTTAGAGGAGATAGAAGGGGATGAACGATCTATTCATATATTATTCACCATTACATTCAATTTTAGAGAAAGCAGCTCCAAGGAAGAAGAAGATAGTTTTAGGGAGAGAAAGTTGGGTTTTTGTATTTTCTTGCTCATTTTGATCCTAGTAAGTTTCTTAAACTTGCAATCTTCATTTCTAAACTTGATGTAACTTCCATTTTCAAGTGTGATTTTCACCACAACAATTGTTTTGGGGAAACTCCATTTTTAATGTTTGAGCTTTTATGATTTAAGTTCTATGTTCTTGGTGTTTAATCAAAGCTTCAAGTTTGTTTAGCTCTTTCTTTGGTTAGTTTAAATTAGTATTTGTTTCCTTCACAATATTTTCCATGTTCTTTAGCATTTTCATTCCCATCTATGGCCGGCTAGAACATTAGTTGGCGAAGTCCAAGGAAGGATTTTCATTCGAGCATGAATAAACCATTCCACATTAGTTGGCGAAATCCAAGGAAGGATTTCCATCCGGGTATGGAACAATCAATCTCAAACATATTGCCTTATAATGTAGTGTGTTGAATTTGACTAATTAGATTGCAACGTATGGATTTGTACGAATTTGATGCACCGTAGACTTGTCATGGGATATGTTTATCGTCCCTTCAAACTTATACTAATCAATCTTCCTACGAATCAATTTGACACCAATACACTCATTTGGTAACTCTTGATTTTTAGTTTCTATCTTGCGATTGAACAAAAACACTTTTGAGTTCAATTGAGTTATATGTGGGATTGATTAACCATATGTGGTGAAAAGAATTCCGAGGATTAGCTAACCTTTTCATTGATAGATTTTCAACCCTGAATCTCACGATTCATCAACATTTTCAAAGAACAAATTTTTATTTTTACTTTTAAAATCACTTTCGAAACACTTGGTTCTGACCTTCCCAGTGGAGACGAACTTAGAACTTTTTTCAAGTTAATACACGACACATAAGCCTCCTTGCACTAACACCATAATTTGAGGATACAACACTCTTGGCACTCACATACATTCCAACATACCCTTCAAATAAAACCCACTAGGAAATGAATCGAGAATCGCACAATATCGTTTCGCGACATTGTGATTTTACTTGAATCTTTTGTCATATCAAACTTCTTCTTTTGTCTATTATTTCATGTATATCACCAAGTACCATTCTACAATGTTGTGACTGATGTATCTCAGTGTCCTTTGAGTTATTCATCGATATCGCAATAATGAACTATGGTGGTGGGGGAAAGAAATAAATTGTTTTTAATGCTAGAAAAATATCATTAGTAAAATAACAAAATAAAAGTTATGGATTAATTACAATGACCATTTACACTTTGGTTAAACTCAAATCCAAGGCCAAGTAAATTCTCTAATATGTCTTTGATTTCCTCAACCTCCCTTAACAACATACCCCTTGATAGAACACACCTAGCTAGTGTTGCAAAAAGTGCATCTAGGCATATGTCTAACCCTGAGGAAAAGTGAGGGGCACATGAAGTGCCTTGATAGGCCTAAGGCATGACAACTTAATTGAGACAGAATCGAGGAGCGTGAGGTGTACCCCTTAGGCATAAAGCCAAATGTGCATGTGGCATGAGTTTTTTTCTTATACTTTTCAGTGATATATTTTTGGCCGTCAATCTCTTTATTTTAATTGAAAATTTTTATTTGCTTAACACGAGATTAGAGCTCCAGTTACAAAAAATATGATTCTAACTCATGGTTCAAAGTATTAGTCGATATCAATACTATTCAGATGTGTCGTATCTGACTCAACATGTTCCGAAACGATACCGATACACGATACGTATAAACCCCGAGTTTCGCATAACTCAGCCGAATAGTTCGAATTATATCTGAGTCAATCCTGAGTCACTGAGTTATCATTACCGAATCGTCCGATACGTCTTCGCAACGCCGCTAATATGATTTGAATCTCGTCATATACAACATTTTCTTTTAGGTCTTATTGTCCGATACTATGTCGCGACGCCACGACCAATGTGTCTTAGAGTTCTCCAAGTTAATGATCGATATCACGACCATGCACCATGTTCTAACTACAAAATCTACCCTTGCACTTCACATATGCAATCTTATTTACTCCAATTCTAATTATGTATTTCAGGCCAGTGATATATGTTTTTTTCTTTTTCCATTTTCATTATCTTGTCTCTCTTTCTATGTATCTTTCTAATCCTTCTCTGTCTCTCTCTCCCTTCTTTCCTTCCTATCTTTCTCTCATTTTTTTTTTGGTGAGATGAAACCAACCCCTAATTTATTGAATGTACCACTTTTTTAAAAAACTAAACCTCATTTTTGTCAAGTAGCGCCTAAATATATGAAATTAGCCTTTTGTTTTAAGGTATAATGCTCTGGCTTTGATTGATTATCCCTCTCTCCCCTATCCTTTTGTACTCTTTTTGAGAATTTTTTACAATATTACGGACCTTTAATGAAATATGATGTCGAAATTTTTGAAGGATGCTAACACACAAGAATTTTTGTATCAGTTATAATTTGCTAAATTTGATGGTGAAAGATTATTAATTTTGCTAGAAATGTCATAATTTGGTGTATGCTATTGAGATAGGTTGCATATGTTGTAATTGTCCGAAATTTTTTATATTTTGTTGCATTTAGATGCATGTACGGTGCAATTTGTAATTTTTACATATTATGTACAACATGCACCAAGCTTTGATAAAGCTTGCAACTCATCTCGTGCCTAGGCCCTAGGAGACATTGGCACCTCATCGTGTCTCCTTCCATAGGTGGTGGCTGCTTGTGGTTCATCTGGGCTTTAGTTTGTGATGCGATGTGCATTTCATTTGGATTTGGAGGTTGATGTAGGAGGCTGAATGAATAACCAAAATAACACAATAGCTTGACCAGTTGATTATCTCCAGTAATACCGAGTGAAAAGCCCTTTAATGGCTTTGTTGATTCCTAACAATACCAAAGTAATAGGGAGAGAGAAATTGTTCTCTGCAATTTTAACAAACACAATAATCTGGTTGTGGTCCCAAGGTATTGGAAGTCAAGATGGGTGTTTCTGTATTTGAGCGTGGCTTGGTTGGACTTGGATTTATCTCTAACGGAAACCCAAGCTTCACTTGAGCTCAGTACGCATTGTGGAAGCTTCGTTCTTATATGGTTTGAGCTTCCTTTCCTGCATAATAGTGCTTCTTCAGTAACCAACATACTTGGATTCTAGGTGTTAATCCAACAATTACAATAAAACAACATCATTAGATCAACAGATTATGTCAGATATTTTAGGTCTAAATAGCATTACTCTTCTAAGTATATCTAGATATTGTAATGTTTTTGCCCTCCTATTTTTGTCTGCTGCCTTTTGTATATTTGGGTACACATCTATTTTTATACGTAGTTACTGAACTTATTCCTGACACGTTTGGACCCTGTTAACAGAGCAAGTCAGCTGAGACGTCTTAGAGTGGTGATTTGCCATGAGTTATTAACTGAAAGTTTGAATATAGTGGTAAAAAAACTACCGTTGTTGGAGGAATTTCATCTTTACTACACCTACATTGACTTTGAAGCTATTGAAAACATCGGTTGTTGTTGCCCACTTTTGAAGTCATTCATATACAACCAGGAAGGGCATACATTCTCACAAGTAGAGAATGATGAGGAGGCTTTAGCCATCGCAAAAAACATGCCTGGATTACGTCAACTTCATCTCTTTGGAAATAAGATGACAAACATTGGCCTGCAAGCCATTCTTGATGGTTGTCCTCACCTTGATTCACTTGATTTGCGACAGTGTTTCCATGTCAAGCTTGAAGGTGATTTAGGCAAAAGATGTTCAAAGATAAAAGATCTGAAGCGTCCTTTCGACTCCACTAAAGGCTATGGATTTGTTACTTCACCTCAGAACATGATGTACTCTGCAAATGGAATATTCGAGGAAATATTTGAGGATTTTTGGTGACTACTGGGCTCTTATTATTGGGGGATTAAACTCGGTGCTATTTTCTCCTTTTTTTTTGTGACTACCAGAAACTGGGGAAGATTCCAAAGTTCATAATGTTCGGTGGTTTGAAGAGTCTTACTGTTCTGGATCCTTTAGTTCACTGCATGTATTAATAGGATGAGTACTGTGAATTCTCTGTTGGCAGCAACTCTTTTGACTAGTTGGAGCTGTTTTTTTTATCAGGGTTTTTTGCACTTTGCACCCCGAAAGATGTCTTGTTCTTATTTTACACTCCGAAAGATTATTTTTTTACACATTACACCCTACATGTCATAAATTGGTTTCAATGTGGCACTTAGACTAACATCTATTTCATATTTCATTAAAAATTAATGTAAATGCCACTTAAGGATATGAATTATGAGTTTATATTTTTATCCAAGAACAACACGTGGGCGGTTTATATTAAGGGTACAATGTGGAAAAAATAATCTTTTGATGTGCAAAGTAGAAATCAAGGCATCTTTTAGGATGCAAAGTGTGAAAAGCCCTTCTTATTGTGGTGTGTTGAACTTGTACCCCTTTTTGATATTTTGATTCTCACATTCGAATCTTAGATATATAGTTTAGACAAATGAACATTAATCGTCGTTCTGGGATACATTAATAGTTACAATTGTGGAGTTTGGATTACAAGAGAAGGTCGAGCTTCAACCAAGGTTTTGTTCTTTTATGTAGTTATGACTGTGAGTTAAAGGTTGGACGAAACTGGAAGAAGCATTAGCCTAGCTAGCTAACGTTTAATTGGTTGTTTTGTTGTACTGCATCTTCTTTCATTTCGTAAGGATTTAATAGTATTTTCTTATGATAACCTTGTCTAGAGAGTACGATATATTGATGTAAAGGATAGAGTTAGATTTGGTTGGTTGGTTTTAATAAGTTTGAATGANCGAAACTGGAAGAAGCATTAGCCTAGCTAGCTAACGTTTAATTGGTTGTTTTGTTGCACTGCATCTTCTTTCATTTCATAAGGATTTAATAGTATTTTCTTATGATAACCTTGTCTAGAGAGTACGATATATTGATGTAAAAGATCGAGTTAGATTTGGTTGGTTGGTTTTAATAAGTTTGAATGAAAAGTGTTTTTGCTTCTACTATTAACTCGAGTAGTCCTTGTTTCTGAAATTTTAATAGAATCATTATTAGCTTTCCCAATTTTTGTAATAATCCTCTAGAATGGTGATATCATAGTTTTAATGTTTTGTTTAATATTCCAAAAACCATTCCATAAAAGCAATTATATTTTGAATATTATACAGATAATTATCTGTTAACTGACAAATCCTAAATTGTAGAGATGTCAATCAAATTTTTGATAAATATGTACAATTAATTAAATAAAAAATACCTTGGCATTACATTGATTCACCAAAAAATGATGATGAGGGATATCAATGAAATTTTAAAGAATGTGAGAGGTATCTTTAGGTTATGGGAATCTACCGAAAAAGAGTTCGTACGAAATTCTTCATAATACTAATATAGTTATTTAAAACTGTAAAAGGGTAGTGTTGTGTTTATGCATTTTTTCAAGGGTAATATAATTAATCAAAAAAAAAAATTCAATACCCTTACATTTATGTAGAGTGTAGACATACATATAGATATATATTTATTCCAACTAAGAAGTTGGATAAAACTATTTGATTGAAAAAGGAAGTTGCCTATTGAACCCTAAGAATGTAGAGTTTAGTATGGTGATATCTTAAGTTCGACTTTTGCTTTGGTTTGCTTGTTGCGTGTGGTTATGTTCATTTGGAGTTGGTACTGTAACGACAAGTATAAAAAAAAGAAAAAAATAAATCATTTATGTAGAATTTCTTTTGCTCGTCGTGATGTTTTATATGTAAAAGTGTACCAATATTACAATCTAATCAATAATATTACAATTCAATTAATCTAAACTATGATCAGAGGAGCAAAATGCCTAAAAACATGGGTGATAATATTACAATCAATCTACACTATGGTTGGAGAATGAAACATTCAAAGAGTAGGTAGAGAGAGACGAGATCAATCCTTGTATTTAGCAAGATTTTGACCTCTTCTTAGCTCCCATTTAAGAGAGTTAAAGTTAAATTTTGTGGCCAAAAGAATTAGAAATGTTATTTGGATTTTAAATGTTGACATTATTTGTTGATTTTATCAATTACAAATATTGAATAGGTACTAGATATCGCCTGAGCTAGTATGCCGCGTCCGTTTAGAGCCGTCCTTGACTCCCATGTGGTTATTAAGCAAACTTCGATTCACAAGAACAATATAGTTTGCTACTTGACTTTAATGGAGTTGTGATGATGAACTGTCTTTCCGGGTTAGAGCAACTCCAAGGGTCTCAATAAAATGCCCTTCTCAGCTATTTTAAAGAGGTAGACCTTAAATTTTGTCTCCAAGAGCTTAGCTATCTCATTGGCTATTTCTTATAACCTTCATGTGCCTAGCTATCCTTGGTGAGGCACAGAAACTTGTTATTGTGGTTTTTGTGCCAATTTCTTAACTTCACAACACCCCCAATTTTATTCTTCTTCGATTGTTGTCTTCCTCAACCAAATAGAAGGTTCTTCGTCCAGTCTAAGTATGGAGTTCTCTCTCTCTGTTATCTCTGTCTGTGGGTGTATATATGGAGTCGCAAAAAACCTATTGAAACCCCATCTCTCTCTTGGCTTCTACTGAAAAACCCACCAAAAACTCACTGAAAAAACACCAAAAATTCCACCGAAAAACTCACAAAAAAACTTACCAAAAAATCCAAAAATCCCCCCCAAAAACTAATCATGTAACCATGTGATGTCATCAATATGGCGATGATGTGGCATGCTACATAGTATTTTAGATTTTAATAATTAATAGTTAATTAAAGTTAATTGAAATAGTTAACTAAAATAGAGAGCGCTGTTAGAGTGAGTTAGTAGAAGTTGCTCTTTAAAATAGACAGTGTAATAAAAAAATATATTTTGTCTATTTATTTTAGCTAGTATCCTTGAGTTGCTCTAAGTATTATGACTCAAATCGGACACTAAACGGTGGGGAACCCTCATACTACGTACTGGTCATCCCTTCCCCCTTTTTGTTTTTTTAAAAAGAATAAGTAATAGGCCAATAAATGCAAAGATATATGGTTAAATCATGACCGATAAAATTAGCAAATAATATTTAAGTATAAGTAACATTACTCCAAAAGAATTATTGGCCACAAAACCCTTCAGACATCATTCACGTGAATGCAATTAACACACCACCGGGTGAAAGATTATTTAAACACAAATTACATGTTTTAGAGATTATACTGATAAAATTAAACTAATGTGGACCAAAACTATAAAATATGCATTTTACCAAAAATGTTATTAACTAAAAACAAATATATTTTTGGGAGAGTTATACTTAGACTCACCGAGATTTGTCACTTAATCACTTAGACTTTAACATTTAAAATATTACATATTGACCCTTTAAAGTTTGTACGCACGTAACACTTAAATCTTTGTCATTAATGTCTGTTAGTCTATCATTTAGTAAATTATATTCAAACACCCTAAAGTTTTTAGATATGTAATATTTAAACTCCTCAAGTTTAAAATATTATACTTAAACAAAAAATATTTCAATCAAAGATAAATTATCAAATATTTAAATTTTACAACCAAAATTCATATTTTATTATATCATTTATTGAAATAAAATTCAAAAAAAAAATTAATTTAAAAAAAAATCATAATTAGTATATAATTATATTATCTATTAAAATAAAACTAAAAAAAATGGATCAAACCGTAATGGATACAAAATATTTTATCTTTAATTAAGGTAATTTGGTCGTTTAACAGATTTTTTTAGTTTTGTAAGTAATAAGTAAATGTGATAATCGTGTCGCGTTGAGTTTGTGTCAATCGTGTCGTGTCGAGTTTGTGTCGTATTAATGTGGGTTCGTGTCGTGCACTTGTAACACCCCAAATCATGGTATCATATTTGCCACAAATGAAGAGGAGAAACCAACAACAACCGCATAACTTTGATACCTTTATATACATACAAATTATGTTTAAAACCTTACGATTACATCCCAATTGACCCTCTAAACTCGGCAGTGGGCTCCTCTCGTCTTTAGTTTTTTTCCTGAAAAGTCATTGAGACTATTAGTGAGAGCAAGGATGCAATCAATAATCATGAACACAACAAGAGAAAAAAAAAAACAATTTATTTATTAAGAAACAACCTTAACCATGTTGTAACTACCAATATTAAATGTTACACTTCACCACTTATACATTGTTCAGATACATCACATAGACATAACTTGTATAAATTATATAGGCAAAATTTACCGCTAAAATAGTTACTTTCACACAATTAAATTATGCCACACAACGATTACCCTCGCACATACCCCCGGTCACACAGGAAATTCAAGTTACACAAATAATTCTCATCACTTAGATGACTCAAGTCATATAGATACTTTTCATTCTTGTCACTTAGACAACTTAAATACGTAATTTAATTCCATCATGTAGATGACGTTATTAATCAACTCGAATCACAACGCTAATTTCGGTCACGTAAATGACTCGTATCAAGCAATTAATTCTTGTCTTATAGGTGACTCACGATCACTTAATATTTCATGTCACATAAATGACACGCAATTACTTAGTAATTCTCATCACATAGACGTTATACAATCACCTAATTTTTTCATCACGAAGGCAATACACAAACTTAATATTTCTCGTCACGTAGACGTCACACAATCACTTAATATTTTCCGTCACAAAGACGACACATGAACTTAATATTTCTCGTCACGTAGACATCACACAATCACTTAATATTTCCCGTCACGAAGACAACTCATATATTTAATATTTTTTCGTCACGTAGATGACACATAAACTTAGTATTTCCTGTCACATAGACGTCACACAATCACTTAATATTTTTTGTCACAAAGACGACTT